GTTCAATCTAAAATCAAAAGGAAGAAAAAATATCCTGAAAAAATAAGATTTATTATTATATTTTTGCTTGATATTAACTTTGACCTCATGCAGGTTTCTCGCTATTTGTAACTAAAAAAATTTGAAATATTTTCAATCACCACGTAAATCAATTAGTCAGTGAATACTTTGTCATGATATCATCACTTGAGACTTAGAGATCATTTTCACAAAAACCTTTCAATGCTTACCATTTTGCTTCTTCTTCAAGTCCTTTCATATCCCGGTGAGTATTTCAAATCAATTATCAATCCCAATTCCTGTAAATGTAAATGTATCAAATGAAAAATCATGACGCATAAATAAGATTCGAACTCATAAGATTCAATAAATAGTCGAAAATTTGAAAGTATGAATTATTCATCTCCACGAGCTCTTCTTTCTGCCCCTTGCTGACATTGACGATATGGGGTGAAAAATATTAATCGGGAATAAATTTTCTTAAACGATTTTCGATCTTTTCTGAAAATATGAATGATGTGATAAATGATTTTTTTATCGAATGTTATCCTTAAATCAAGTTTATGAGCACGATCCATGGCGTCAAAGGTGGAGCAATTTCAACATTTATATAATAAAATATTTTCATCTCGTTAATATTGAGTAATTCAAATAAAAATATTTTAACCAGAAGAGAGTTCTCATACAAATGTGGCCATTTCTTTTGGATACAGATGCACAAAATAATTTGAAGTTTAAGTATACAATTTAAGTAAAATAATAAGCGAGTGTTGCGATAATTTAGCTTTAACAAGCGTGACAAATGCTTCCAGATATACTTAAAGTAACTACTTCTTTTACACGCAGCAGCAAGTGCATTGAATTGAGAGCAAAAGGCATGGAATTGAATTCTTCTTTTCTCATCTAAATTAATGTTCATCAAAATTTCCCTCACGTCCCACTTTAGGCATTTTTTTCTTTTGATGATTTCTGATTCTGAAACTCACGATAATATTGACAAATAACAAATCTTCTTTCAATATTTTCTCAAATTAAGCTCTTGCAAACGCTTCCGTGTATATTAAATGACATGTATTTGTGGCTCATAAAATATCGATTACATTGGGTATTCATAAGAAAAATTGCCACTTTCATGGACTTGTAATTTCATACTTGATGCTACAATTTTTTCCTTTCATCAAACGCAGAATTATTTCCCTTGGCTTATCAATTTTGCTGAATTTATTTATTTTATGCTAAATAATCCCCGCCCTGTCACAGATTAGATATTCTTTGTAGATATTTACACGAGAAATATTCATTCTATTGCAACCAACCAAAAATCATTTTAAATAGACTTATGAATATTCCACCACAAATTCCTTATTAATAATTCAACAAAATTCAACATCAAGATATTTCTTTGTTTTTTTATTTGTAACTTTGAAATGAAGACACTTCTTTGTTGAAAAATGAAATCGTATGTCAAACACATCACTAAACTAATGAAGAAAAAAATGGTCAAGAGATCACAGCAAGAGTCGTAATAAATAAAATTTTAGTCGAGTCTCCGACTTTTTGGCTGCCAAAAAAAGTCATCTCTATGTTTGTTCTTCTTTCTTTGATTATTTCAATAGTCCCCAAAAGCTAATTAATTTTTTCTTCTAATATTTATTTTGTTTGTGGCACCGAAGTTGCATCTTAATATTTCCTAATCAATGAAAACGATTGCCATAAATTGAGATGTTTGAGACAGCAGCAGAAAGAAAAAGCAAAAGAATGTCGAGGATCTTATTGGAGATTGAGAATTCATTGATAATGTCATTTGATCTGAGTTTCTTTCATCCATAAGCGTTCAAAAGCGAAAATGAGATTAATGAAGTCGTTAAGTGAGACAGCCCGACACAACATTGAATTGAAATTGTGACATTAAGTCGCTAAGATGAAACAGAAATGAATATCTTTTGAGAACGATATCGGAAACTAATCGCGATTAGCATAATTAAGTTAAATTGTTATGAGCAAAGGAGTCTCACTGGTGGCGATTATATTATTCACATTTGAGGTTTGATGCAATCTTTTGAATTTCATTCACAAAAGCTGATACAAACGATTAGTAGACAATTAAAATGCAAATCTAAGCAAAAGAATGTACCTCAGATCAGCGGAAATGATCAGTGTCGTGTGTTGTTTATTTTAAATTCTCTAAGAATGTGTTGTCTAATAGGACGTGATTCTTTAAAAATTTCATTCAAAGTTAAACTGCAAAATTATAATCAATTAATTTTCCATCCGGCACAAGCTTGGAATGACTGCACAACTTAATAAACATAAAAAATAAGTCGTCCCAAACCACCTCACAACACGAATATTGATATAATTTCAGGAAGTTTTGTGGTAAATAGAAAACATACATTTTTTGTTCTTAAGGAAACCACAGAAAAGAAACTCAAAAATGCACCAGAAATCTGACTTTAACAAGACATAATTTTTTTTAGCCTTTAAGAATCCTAAAAGCGTAATTATAAAGACATTTAGTAAAGGAATTAACTTCCGTTTATTTTAATCACTTGCAATGCATTAATAATAAACGTTTAACGTCACACAAATATTAATCAAGGGTATTGAGATATTGAAGATGACTACATGAAAGCAATTTTGACTGGTTTATGACAAGGTAAAGCATCTTTGAATGATTCAAAGAGAAACGAAAGAAGAAAATTGAATAATAATAATGATAATGTTGATGCTGATCCACCTAAGACATCGTTGAAAGGATTTTCATCTTTTATATTTATTTGTCTTCCTTTCTTTCTCAAAACTTGCTTCTTTGATTACTCTCGAAATAAAAAAATAATTAATCAGTGGTTTAAGGGGGAGCATTATAAGATGTAATCTTGTTAGATATCCTAATTTGACTTCTAACTTCTTTTTATTTATCATTTTCTTGCATGTTAGGAAATGTAAATGTTTCTTCCTACTGAAATTACTGTCGGTTAAATTAAGTAAAATTGAATTATAAAACCGTCAAATAGATAATCAAAAGTTGTCATGTGATGGGACTTGAAATATTCAGCGTAAGTCAATCTACTTCTTCTGATGAAAGGAAACAAATTTTCTGAAATCATTTAAATTGCATTTAAAACTTTATGAAACGACAACCGAGTTTTTAAAATCTCTTGGGTGGTCGATATCATTGCTTTGAACAAAGCAAGATAAATTAATATTTGTTTTTATATATAACTTGACTAACTTCTTTTCACTTCAATTGACTTTTGGATATTTTATGGTGTTTGCAGATATTTAAATCATTTTGCAAACTCAATCGTTGTTATGTGAATGAACTTATTTAGTAGCCACCAACTGTCACTTTTACTAAACTTAGCAATTGAATGCAATGCCGTCAGAGACGTTTTGTTTTGACAAATTCCATCAAACTGATAATAATTTCGTTTTATCGCAGAATGAAACGAAAGAGAAACTCTTTCGTGACAATGACATTTTGCGTTTACTCATTTTTGTTTTAAATTTTACTGAATTAAGTCTTGAATATTGTACTGATGTGGAATTTTAGATATCGCCATGGAAGCAAAATAATTATCCAATGTACATGAACAGCAGATAGCATTACTTGGATATAAAAGACAATTACATGAAATATTTCCAGTTTCGATTTCATTATGAAGACGGCCAGTATTTAAGTTAGGATTTCATTCCATTACAAGAATACACAAAGAGCAATTCGAGACAATTAAAAGGAATAAAGTGGTTGCCATTCACTTTTATTAAATTATATCATTACTTCATGCTGAAATTGATTAAGTCGAGAAAAAACATATTTATCGATTGGAGAAAAGACAAGAACCAATATGACGGAACATGTGGAAAGGGCGCGAAGTTAATGTATGTTTTATGCTCACGAGATCACATATGTTTTGATTTTTTTATGCTTTAATATTTTGTTTGTTGTTATAATTATTATATATTCTTAACGAAATGTAACTTTTGTTATTGTATTTTTGCAGCAATACAAAAAATATTAAAAATATTCACTTCTATTACTTCCAGAGATTTTTTAAAAACTTCAATTTGTTTATTTGACATAAAATGAAGGCCTCTGCAAATTATGATACATAAGTGCTTAAAGCTGCTTATTAACACGTAAACATTTCAAAAGATCTCGTTAAATTAAGTTATTGTTTCATCTTAATTTCATGACCTGAATTCTAAATGAATTCCATCTGAATGAAATCAAAGACAAAAAAATTATTGACTCAGTTGTTTCCAAAAAAAACATTAAAAATATTATCTTTGGCGAAAACAATTAAAGACATCAACGTCATTATTTATTAGCAATTCAATTATACATAAATAGTGTGGACGGGGAAAACAAAGATCGCACGTCTTTTTTCTTGGATTTTTCTTCTTCTTTTGATCGGAAAGTCAATAAGAATTTATCGCTTTTTAAAAAGTGGTAAAAAGTTGTCATTTGAGTACGAGAATTGAATTTAAAGTGGGGCCTCCGTAATTTCTGTTTTAAGTAACTAAAAATTGAATTGAATTATTCTTCGGAATTTTTTCAATTTTCAATATAATTGCCAGGAGTTTTAAAAGATTTTTTTTTGGTGTAGAACGACATTTTTTTAAAATATCGGTAATAGAAAAGGTTGCGGTAGGTCCCTTACTTCTGTTGATTAATTTAAATTGCTTCCACGAAAGAACTGACCTTTTACAAACTTTCAATTTTACCTAATTTATTTCATTTCTTCCTATAAAAAATGATTACATGTTTTTTTAAGTCAACGAAGGAATAATGAAGTTTACGGTAATTAGTTACTGTCCTCTCATAAGGAATTTAAAGGATATCTTATTTCTTTTATTCAAAAGGAAGAAACTTAAATATTGGTCAATTAAGTTACATGAATAAGAAATAGAAAAGATTTAGGAAAAAAGTAGAAATTCAAGTTGTGATTGACTGTTGAAACGAACAAAAAAGGATCATTGTCATAAATACTGATTCTTTATGCTATCGCGGGTTGTAAAACGCGTTTTTCCTGTGAATCATGTCCTTGAGAATTTCTTCTGTTTACATAAATATAACTTATACTTAGTGAATACTCATTTCAGGATCAAAAGAATGTTAATATGTATGAAAGATGATGGCAATTTAATATTCTTACCTTTCAAGTTTGTCTTACTTATTGTCCTTCATTTTACTTTCAAGGTAGGGTTGCTCAAAACCAGCGAAAAATAAAAACCAGCAAACCAGCAGGCACAATTTTGGAAAACCAGCAAACCAGCGCTGGTTTGCTGGTTTTAATAAATACATTAACACATAAATACCAAAACCCATTACAGGCACTCCAGAGAACAAAGGTGGCTTCTTTGGATCGGGAAAAGTCTTCATCAAGAATTTCAATCTCCTGAGCTTGCTGACTGAAGCTATCATCAAAAATACCAATTTGAATTTAATGAATATGACTTTCCACGGTCTTCTCAAACAAAGAAACATTTTCAGGATCAAGACTTTTGCTTGTCTCAATTAGACATGTTGAAAGAACTTCTTCAACATTCGAATATTGATCATTCTTCAAATTTGATGTCACCCACATGATTTTTGCCCAATTTCCAATCAATCTTGTCATTGAATCATCTTGAATTGCATTATAATTATTCTTCACAAATGTTTGCATTGCGAGATCACGACATTTTTAACGAAGATATGATATATATATGATATATGATAAGATATGTTGAGAACTTGAATTCATCTTTATCAGCTATAAACAAATCAGCTTAAGATCAGCTTGTAAGATGTTCATGTAATCAGCTAAATCGCGATTAATTCTTTCCATTTCAACAAGAAGCGTTGCATATTTTTTCTGAAAGTCCTCAGGAGCGTTATCCCCAAAGCTTTCAACAACTTCAAATTCATTCGACGAATCTTAAGGAGTTGTAACTGTTTCACTTCCAATGTCTTCCTCACCAATACCATTGCTTCAAGAATTTTAACTGGATATCAACCAAAAGATCCTGTAGTTGGTAGCACCAAAGTAGGAAACTTTGGCTTTGAATATCCTTCTAATTTTACTGCACTACCAATAACACCGCTTGATGATAACATTGGATTACTACGACGAAATTTTGAGCCATTCGTTTGAAGTGAAGCAAAAGCACCAGCTGGCTTAAGTGGTGAAACCATGTAATATGAAATATCAGGACGCGATAAAAATTCTTTTGTTATCTTATTAAAATTAATTGCTTCAATATTTTCACTTGACATCACTTTGTAATCGGGAATTTCTTGTGATTCAATTCCTTGACGTTCAAATGCTATGCGATATGAGTGACTTTTATGTACAAGTGCTTCAACTGTTCGCAACAAGTGTTCGCAAGCGTGCCGTAAGTTTTGTGCCAATGGTGAACGGAATAGGAATTTCATGTGGTAAATTGCATACAAATGAATGATCCCCAGTTTTGCGTGATTGCAACAAGCGAATCTTTTGTCGTTAAGGAACAAGAAACAAAGGGCTGTTATATTGTTTTAATGAAGTAATATGGCTCCCATGTATTTTATTTTTAAAATATATAAAGTTGTTATTTATTATATATTTTAATCCCAGTACCTTTTTTCAAAGCATTTGTAAAAAACGCTGGTTTTTTTGCTGGTTTGGATTACCAGCAAGCGGTTTTTTGGAGGAAAAACCAGCAAAAACCAGCATGCTGGTACCAGCAATGAGCAACCCTACTTTCAAGGGCGCAAACTTGGCGCAAAACTCTCCTTTTCAAAAAGAATCTATAAAAGAATATCTTAAGATACTTATTTAAATGAATTTTTTTCTGCTTTCTAGTTCCTGATTTCTTGTAACGAAAATTCTCATTTTTCATCTCTTTGGCGTACAATGAAAAGACTTCAATGAAAAAAAGAAGTTGCACAATGTAGGAGAGAGATGCAATAATATTGATTTTGCAGATTAAAAATGCACATAATTCATACTCTATGTTTATTTCTTTTGCTAGACATTCCTTTTGAGAAACATTAAGGATCGCAACGAATTTTGCTAGAAACGCTCGATAAATTTAATAAATCTTGACGATTTTGTGTTACCAGAGAAATATTCTTTTAATGTTTTGAAAAATCTTCGATTTTATGCTCGGTAAACACGAAAACAAAATCAATGTCTTGAGGGATTCTCCTCCAGGTAGACGAAACATCAATAGTCATTTGAACACACTTTTGTGAACTATTGTTAAGATTGTAAGAGAAGAAAATCCCAGCAATGATCTTCATTGTTTTCATTGCATCATTTTTTTATCAAAGCAGCATAAAATGCTACATCAAATGTTAGTTTTAGTCAAAGAAACAAAAATTGTATCTTTTGCTCCATTATGAACTGAAAATTTGATCCTTTAATCAAACATCATTTTTTACGGGTAGCAAAATACAATGAAATATAAAAAGATCGATACAAGTTACATGTCCTGATATCGTCTGATATTGTTTGAAATCTGTGAAAATAGAAGATCTAAGAATCTCTAGGAAAATAGTTGCGTAAAACGAAAACATGTCTTAGCCTCCGATCGAAGATATATTTCTTTGTTCCTTTAGAATTCAATTTGCAATGGTTATTATTTGACTCACAAACCACAGAAAAGTTTCTTTTTCTTTATTGATATCAACTTTTTATAATGCTTACCTGTGCAACGAATTTGCACATTAAATCTGTTCCTGTTTAAAAACTTTCCCATGTGTCTGAAAAAATAATTTCAAATGATAAATAACGTTTGGAAATTTTTAACTTTCATCAAATATTTTCATTGGCAATGATGAGAATCGATATTAAAATTTAATAAGCCAATTAAAACTAAAATATGAGAATAAATTTAATCAACAAAACGTTGAATTTATTTTCTAGAATTGTCTCTATGGTTGAGCATTCATCCTTTCCCCCTTCAAGGCACCACGATGGTGTCACCACAAACAATTTTCCAGTACAGAATACTTGATCACATGAAGGTAATCTAATTCTTTTGATAATAAATTTATTGAAAGGGATATCAGAATATCATTAAGAGAGGAATTCATAAGTTTTTTTAATTCCAAAAATACAAGTTTACGATCAAGCGACCCAGTTTAAAGTACCTAGATTTACCTCTTTGGTATTCGCATTAGAAGGGGTGAATAATAGTGCATTAGGTAAACGAGCCTCTTTTTAAAACTTTTATTTATTCTATTGATCATTTCAGGCACTTAAATTAAAAAAATAAATTTATAATATCAGAATGTCTGCCCGTTTGACGACTTTAAAAATCTTTGCAAATTACCCATCCTGACAAGATTAAGTTTATATGAATGCAAAAACCCTTTTTCTTAATTCCATAAAATTGAAACCACTGTCGCATAGAATTGTACAAAAGGTAAGCAGGTAACTTTAAGAAACCGATTTCTCACGAATTGGGTTACTGGTGCATTCAACTGTTGAGGTTTTTCGTACAGACAAAGGAAAGTTGTAACAAAATCTAATGATGAATTGTTTTAGAATTTCTAATCTAATTAAACTGCTGATTATTTATGCAAAAGCGATCATTGTTTCCCCACAAGTTATTATGCTTTAAATGTAGGGATCTCCGTAATGTTAGGAGCATTAAAATGCTTTTGATATATTTTTTTTATTCGTGTGCCAAGCGCTTAAATAATATTGATGATGATAGAGCAGATGTTTTTGTCGAATTTTTTTTTCGATGTAAGTTTTTTTATTCGTCGTCGCTGTTTGATTCGTAAAAAGGTAGAAGCAAAATATCGCGAACCGACTGATTATGTTTCAGTGTTTTGTGCTGTGTTGAAGTCGGGGAGTTTTTTATTGAATGAGAATAAATAGATTTTCTCGTGTGCCACAAAAGAGCCCTTTTGGTGTATTCGGTTTTTTACTCCAAAACTTGATTTGAAATTGACGTGGAGTGTGTAAACTGAAGATATGAATAAAGAAAAAAAAATACGCGATTGACGGTGATTGAGGCGGAGTTGTTGATGATAATTCTTGTTCAAAAAATAAAGAAGGCTCTGGGTAAATTGTGATAAATGCCACGCTTATTCCACGCGACTAGATTTATTTGATTACTTAGATTAGATTATACTAAATTATGTCTTGAGGAGTTCATTCAACAAGTATGAGAACGCAAGAAGCAACTAGTTCATCATTGTGAGTATCTAGTATTTAGGAACTTTTCAAGGACTATCTGGTTTAATAAATTTTTGAACTTGAATAAGTTAATTAAAAATAAATTTTCGCCAATTGTGATGGTCTCACACAGTTGTTTCATATTGAAACACAAATTAATTAAAAACCCAAAAGATTCAAATTAAATATTAGATTATTAATCTAAGCACTCAAATTAAATAGAAAGAAAATATTTTGTTTTAACTAATACTAGATACCATTCGTAAAATTATGTTTACTTAAATTCTTAATTATTAAGCCTCAAACATTCCTTCAGCTTTTGCTTTTCGTCCCACCCATCCTTTGTTTTTTGGATTACACATTCAACAAAGAAACGGCGCAAAACCGGATGTTAAGTCTCATGTGTTTTTTATTCGCTCCCTTTTATACTTTTGCGCAATTCGAAGCCATAATTTTCAAACCTGTCATTGCTGATGAGGTGTTTCTTACTTACCTATTTCATTTTTGATTATTGTAATGCTTTTATAGAAAAAAATTCTACATTGTTAATGTCAACTTTGCAATAAAGTTCGTTAAATTTTGGTTTCGTTTCGGAGCTAGTTTTCTATGCTCAAATAATCTTTTTGTGTTTTATATTTCATAAATCGAATTTCCAATTTAACGCCATGAAATTTCCTACCCAGAAAAAATACATTTTCAACCATGATCAAGCAAGTAAAGATAAAAAACTGTCAACTGATGTGACACAATTTTGTTTTGGTTATATACTGCACTCTCACACACAGGATGTGAATAACGAAAAATTATTAATTTTTCCAGAACTCATGGGAAATATTTTGTGGGTCGATACATAAATTTCTCAAACTAGCTAAGTTTCATGGTAAAAACATATGTGCTATGATATTCATCGAAATTATTTGAAACAAGTGGCATCGTTGAGCATCTCTTAGGTATTCTAATTGAAATGAATTGCATGTTTCACAAATACCCAAATTGATATTTCCCATATTCACTCTAAACTCTCAAATCAAATCTTTTTAATTAATTGAACAAAAATCTGCAGAACGATCCCTTACTTGTTTGATACAGAAAATTTAGAGTTAGAATTTCAAACAGAGGTAAAAATCAATTTCGAACGATGAAGAAAAATGGTGAAAGTGAAATAAATCATAAAAGTTGAGAATGATTAGTGGCTTCAGAAATATCAGCAGAGCCGAAATACTTCAGATAGCTTGCTTGATCAAACAAGTCTCACTGCAAAATAAGGACGTGAATCCATTCCTGTTTCATTTTACTTATATTTTGAGAGTACATAAGCAGTCAGGCACACATATCCATACAACAATAGACCATTTGGCGACCCTCTAGCTATATAGCATAAATAATGCTTTTTGTTATAATTTTCCCTGCTAAATTTGATCCAAAGAGGGAGACGAACAGCAATTTTTCGTGAACAAAAGATAGAAAAATATTTTTGATATTTATTTTACAACAAATTTCTACTTTGCAGATATTTTTTGATTTGCAAAAGTTTTGAAATGAAAAAAATAATTAAATTAAAATATCGTGAATCAAGGTGGAGTCTACAAAACATAAAATACTTGTTTTTGTTACTATCAAAATGTTTGATAGTGTTTTGCATGAACTTTGATATTTTATGGAAAATATCGAAGATCCAACATTTCTACGCTAGGCTTATACATAATTTTATCCTTAATAAAAATTATTTCCTTATTTACAGTTATTGTGGCAACTTCAAATATAAAGAAATAATCACCCAGGACTGTCACGTAAAGCTTTTCGATCACACATCTTTTGATATTTTTATATTTCTGAGAAGCGTTATGTTTTTGTGACGTTCTTAGCACATAATTCCATTTAACAGTTTTTTTCTCGTTATCCTTTCCTCTCTTTCTATTTTTATATGCATTAATTTACATTGGTATTTGTTGATCATTCCATATCAAGCAAGAGGGTAGAAAAGTAAAATTACATTAGAGGTTCCCTTACACTTACGTCACATTGTGCTGATCACCGTGAACATATAACACATATACACTTACACATAGCCAATTGTACATGAACTTCTTTATTCTATTTCATTTATTTTTATGTATTTGAAGTCTCCCTTTCGAGTGCAGTTGGAGTGAAGATTTCAGTTTTTCATTTTTATAGTCACTTTTTGTCAGCTCGCACGCGACACAACAGCTGGTCAGGAGATAAAGACAAAATTCCTTTGTAAAATTTTTCATTTCTCAATTCTCATTTTTCTTTACAACTCGTGAAAATAAAATTGAAGAATAGCAAAATTAATTCAACAGAAATCTGTTTAGTGCCTAAGCTGTTTAATAAAGTTTCGATTATAACTTTTCATTTTTGCTGTAGTAATTGTGGAAAAACGCGTCGACTTGGAACTATCATTAAGTCAAATACAATGAGAAACTAGAAAAAAAACTTGTGATAAACTGAAGGAAAACAAAAAATTGTTTGAAGCATTGAAATAAACAATAGAATTTGTGATAGTGGCATAATTATCGTAAAGTGTTACGATGAATTTTGTGCGTTCAGTGCCAGTAATGAAGTCAAAAAACGAAGAAGCAACTGAAAATGATGCAAGTTTAGTTAACACGCATTCAGCAGTTGGTTTCGGAAATAAAAAGACAAAAAGTGATCAAATGATTCCAATGCCATCATCAGCAACAAACTCTCCTAGTCAATCTGATATAAAACCGGTATTAGGACAAATAACAATGAATCATCAGCAAAACGAACCAGCAACTAAGAAGCGACGAGTGTCAGATGGTTCAACAACGAAAGTTAAACCACCACCAGCAGTTGCAGTCGCACGCAGAAATGCTCGAGAAAGAAATCGTGTTAAGCAAGTAAACAACGGCTTTTCAATGCTTCGTGATCACATTCCTCCAGAAATTGCAGACACTTTTGAACAAGCTGGAAGAGGAAATGCAAAGAAATTAAGCAAAGTGGAAACTCTCAGAATGGCAGTTGAATATATCAGAAGCTTGGAACGCATGCTAGCATTCGATACTTCAAATGACTCTGATAGCTCATCAACAATGTACTTAAATAATAATACTAATAATCATTCAACATTCTCGAACCTCTCGATGATGTCAGAAACGTCATTACCAGCGACTCCGCCACCAGAGACACAACAACCATTTTTCTATGCTCTCAAACCTCATGATGGTGGATTGGAAACACAAATCACTATAATTGGTGGTCAACAATATATTAGAATTCCTGGAACTAACACATTTCAACTAGTCACTCATGATAACTTCGAGAATGAGGAGAACATTCATCCAAGCTCTGAGTATACAACAATTCATATTCATCCACCACCATCACCTATGAATGTTCAACCGTTAGCTAGCAACACGATGAATACTGCGCCATCATTGAATTTTGTAAATGATATAAATTCGAGCACGAGCGTAATTAATTCAACAGCAAACTCCGAAACACCTGCTGGATCGATCTCGCCATATAGTGGACATTCATCACTCTCACCTGCTCCATCGCACCATGCCGATAACATCAACAATAACATAATTATGGAAGAGAGTCAATATACAACGATTATAACGAATGGTCGACATGAAGTAAAAGAAGATCACGATGAGTTTAAGCAGTCGCTCTCTTTCCCAGATCAGCTAATGATCCAATGCGGAAATAACGAAACAAGTCATTATGAAAATTTAGTTTTGAAACAGGAATTAATTGATGATGACGGAATTTTTGATGAGAATTCTTTGAGTAATGAAAATATGATTGACGCAATGCAATGGTGGGAACAACAGCAAAACCTTAATCAAAACTCACCGTCATAAAATAATTAGTTGACATATTCGTGTTAATTAATTTACTTGAAGTATTTAAATTTCAAAAATTGAAAAGTTGAAAAGTTTCTGAGAAAATTTAAAGTCAATCAACTTAAACAATTACTTAGATAACATTCCCAAATATTATTAATTAAACTTAGACTAATCCATATGCAAAGAAGTAAATAAATAAAAAAATTGATTAGAGAAATTCAAGGAAAAACTTACAAGTTTAGCAAGATGAACAGAAACTGCTTAAGACAAGGAAGACAATAAATAAACTATGATAATTAGATATTTATTTTATTTCATTTTTATTGATAAGAATTTGCCTTTCAAGTAACTTTGGTCACATTATAAATGTAAATTGTTAGTTGTTAAGCGATTCAATAAAAGTATTTAAAAATTCATAAAAACTCAAAAGTTATTAATAATCAATGAACTTCTTGACCTGTTTAATTGCATCTCATTAATAATGCCTCCCTTTTTTATTACTTATCATAAAAATCTTCAAGAAATAATAAACAACATAAGAAGCAAGAATTAATATTTATTTAAATGCAGGGCCTACTTTTGTTTCATTGACAACAAGAAACTCAGTTTAGGTAGGTAAATGAAGTGTGCAAATTATCAACAAGTGCCATAAAAACTAAATAAAATCTCTCTTAAGAAAATAATTAAAGTGAAATCTTCAGAGTGTCATAATAATCAGTAATGAATTATTTTATTTTACATTCAACTAACTTCAGTCGATTCTTCTTAGAGCCATAAAAAGTTCTCATCATTAATGGCATTGCGTGACAAATTTCGATTCATTAAAACTTCAATTCATACTTTTTACCCTCTCCTCCCCGGAACCACCGGAAATTTCTTTTTAAGAAAATGTCTTGGTTTGTCTTTTCAATTCTGAACGCTTTTTTCTTCATAAATTTTGTAGAATTTTGCTTAAAAGACTTTTTCTTTTCTGTAAATAGAAAGGATGTTCATCGTCCTTAAGCCTTTCTAATTTTCACACAAAACGAAATCACAACACTTGGGTTGTAAGCTTTCTCAAATTCCTGTCTTTATTACTTTTTACCACTTTCCTTTTCATCGACGCGATCCTTTCTTTTATGTAGGGAAAAGGAAGAAAAATGTTCTCAGGATGCAATTAAATTAATAATTCTTTTTATGGTGTATTAAATAGTATGCAACTACTGTTTGTCTCGTTGTACTTGGATCCAGACTATTGTCCTTTGGAGCTGGTTTTTCCTGATTTGCACTGCATTGTGTTCTTGAAATGTTGCAATGAAACATAAAAACTGCATTTGCCATTCTGTATTGTTCATTACATGGATGTATCGTCTAGTTAAGAATAACAAGTATAAGTATTAAGAAGAGAATTTCTTATACGACGGGTTTCAGTTTCTATTCATGCGAAACATGGAATCACGATCATTCAACATTAAAGAAAAAAACTTCAGGACCTGGAAAATCGTTAGTTCAATGTCAGCGAACGTAAAAGTTCGTCACAGTTCTTGGCTGAGTTAAGATTCGAAAACGAATTCTTCTTATGTTTTCATATTCTTTATCTTCAAGTTAAAATCGGTGAACCGTCACAAAGCAACATAAATTTCATCGAAATTAACCACAAAAAGCATGATACACAGACAAACGCTGACGTTCCCTTTTATTTCACTTTTGCTACCAATTGCAAAGATTCTCATACAAAAATCAGTTGAGAATTGTTTGAAAATTTCATTGAAATCCTTCTTAATTGATAGTTATTGTCCATGCGAATGTCCAGAAGTCTACGATTCTCTAGACACATGGCTATTATTCTATACAAAAAACAGTTTCCCTTGTCAGACTCGACGACAGAAAAAATCTAAAAGTCATCTTCAAAATTCTCGGACACAATTTTTTTCCAAAACGTTCATTAATATTACTTTGTGGTGTCATATGGAAATGATCATTTTTATGATCCTTCACCATTGAAAATCTTCAGATGTTTTAATTATTGTGAGACAAGGAAATTCCATCTCCAATGTCTGCTTGTTCGTTATTTAATTTAATATTCCGTATTTACTGATGGGAATTTCAAATATATACAAGTTTGATCAATTTTATGTTTCTCATGATGATTCAATTCTTTTCTATCAACTACCGGATCTAAATTGACCCTTTTGTTAAATCATTGGACACAATAAGACAAACACAAAACTGTCCCATTTGAGAATTTAACATAAAGATGGAAACGGTAAAAATCACACGTGCAAAAGACAAATGCAGTAGGATTGAAAAGTATAACCGTTGGTAAACAAAGATAGGAATATTTCGTAAATGCTGTAAGCATCAATGTATGTACATCAAATATTTGATATGTGTGACATTACAAAAGAACTTTTCATTGACTACCGAAAGCTGAGAGAATCTTCCATTCCTGACCTTTGTCATCTTAGGTCATTTGTAGTTGGGATTTCTCAGACTTACAAAAACTGTATAAAATTTCATTTTCATCCCAGCACCTCTGTGCATGAAAAAGATTATTTCAGAATGGAACGTCCCGACCCGTAAACTAAAGAGGGATAAAAATTACCTTTCCAGTTTCATAATTTTCTTCGTATTGCATAATCGAATGTACCTTTTTTTTGCTACATTTTTAACAAACAAATTATCATAAATTCTATACTTCATAATGCGCTTTAATGGTCCCAACTCGTCACAAAAAGGAACGTATTTGATTTCATTTTGATGGTGATGTGATAGATAAGTGATGGAAATCAAGACGAGAGCAAAGTCGAGGGATGAAAAAAAAGACTGGTTAAGAATACGTTGAGTGAACCCTTTAACCGTTTTATTTGCATTGTTCAAAACTAAAGTTGATCTTTATAGTCTCATCGTGTCCCAATTTACAGACTTTGTTAGTAAGCAGTCGTGGGAATATGATTTGATGCCTGGAAAACTTTTTCTATAAAAGATTCAATCAGCTCACTCGAGATGTGCAAAAAAAGAATGAGATTGAATGTTTGATTTGATGAGACTCTCAAGATAGAATAAAAAGGATTTTTAATTGCCCTGGCAATCCGAAGGATGATTCTTAATCAGCATCCAATAATGGCAGTTTTATACCTGACTTCCAATGAATTTCATTATCATCCCTAACGAGGAAATATTTGAGAACAAAGGATCCTTAAAGCATTGTGATTCTGAGACGTGGAAGTACGAGCCATTCAAGCAAATACACAATTTTACTTTATGTATGATCCAATAGAAACCTAACCCAGAAAGAAGCGTAAGAATTTTTTTTTCTCTAAAATAAATTCAGATAAAACTCACACATTTTTTGCTGGGATAAATATGTTACGCATTTTACAGAAAAACCGTTCTTTGTGCCTACACAAGATGAAACGAGTTTGTCAAGAAAAGGAAAAAAGAAAAAAGCATGAAGGAATCGCACACGTGAAGAAATTCGTTGAACTGTCTTAATGGTTCTCTGTTCCTTCTTATTCTTGATTTTCGTTAAGGATATCAGTGGAGCTAACGAAGGATTTTTTTTATTCGAAAATGTCTTCACGATGATCGTTCATCATACTCAGCTTACTGACAAAGAATTTTCTAGTTAGTTTTGCCAGATGTACGTAATTCAATTGACTGAAAATATTATAATTCTCTCGCATCAGACAAAACTAAACTTCAAGGATCATCTATTCTTCATAAAAAAACTGAAGAAAATCATAAACATAAAAATCAATGATCCAACAAGATGTAATGAACTTTTTCAATTTAGCATTAGTTAAGTAAGATTTTTGAGAATAGAATTCAACCCTAGCTAAGAAACTTTGAAAAATGTCTTGCAAAATTTAGCTAGATGAGATAATTCGTTTTTATCATGAAGATAAGTAAATTTGTGAATTCAAACTACGTTTGTATTTCTGAATTGGAGGGTTGATTATTAAATTTCAAGTTCAACAATCATTCAATTTGTTCAAGAATATTTGTCTTGTATGGATAGATAATAAATTTAAAAATATCGCTTTCCTGGAGATAATAAGAAGTTGTAAAAATGATAAAATGATTAAGTTACTCTAATTGAAGCTACCAATTTTTCACAGTTTGATTTATTTCTTATTTTCATGATAGAAATCAAATAATAGCAAAAAATTTAAACTTAATTATCTATAAAGATAAAAAAAATTTACGACCTACGCCGAAGGTTCTTTCACTTTGAGTGCCCACGTTCCAATTTTTTCAATCATTACTTAATATTATTGAGATAATAATAATCTTATCAACAGCGAAACATTTAAAAGTTGTTGAAAACTTGCGATTGATTTCATTCTTATTTCAGTTAGCTACAATTCAGTTAGGAATATAATTTTCATTGTTACTGTGTCGTACGATGGAAGAACCTGTAAAGATCCAGAAAACAATTAAATGGCCACAAATAGTTGCAGCACTTTCAGCTGCTGGGGGAGCGTTTGCTGTTGGTGCCGCAATAGGATGGCCAGCACCAGCAGGTCCAAGATTGGTTGGAGGTGAAGAAGATTATTTTAGTATCGGACAAAGTGCATTTGATTGGACTTCTTCAATTTTAAATGTTGGTGCTGCAATTTCATGTTTACCAATTGGATATTTAATGAAGAAATTTGGAAGAAAATGGGCCATGATCGGTCTCACTCTTCCATTTGTAGTTGGTTGGGCTCTCGTGATTTGGGCACAAAATTTCGCAATGCTCTTCATCGGGAGATTGTTGATTGGATTAGCGGGGGGAGCTTTCTGTGTCTCATCGCCTCAGTATTCATCCGAAACAGCTGAAAAAGAAATTCGTGGCATAGTGGGGACATTTTGCGTTCTTCTTATTCACCTTGGAGTTTTATATGCTTATGTCGTTGGAGCATTTGTCAGCGTGTTTTGGCTCAGCATAATCTGTGCTTTACTTCCAATTCTCTTTTTTGCAACGTTCATATTTATGCCTGAGTCACCAGTCTACCTTATCACTGAAAAACGTGAAGATGATGCGATAAAATCTTACAAATGGCTTAGAGGTTCTTCGTACGATCCATTACATGAAATAACTGAATTGAAAGATGAGTTAGAAGAAAACGAAAAAAACAAAGTTTCTTATAGTGAAGTCTTTGCACGAAAGTCTACAAGACGAGCTCTCGTTATTGGATTTGGTCTTCTGTTTTTCCAACAATTCAGTGGAATAAATGCAGTTATTTTCAACTCCACCAAAATTTTCGCGGTTTGTTTTAATGAGATGAAATAGTTTTTATTTCAAAATAATTTTTTGATCTATAATTTAAAGGCTGCCAATACTGATATTGATCCCGATTATCAAACAATCATCATTGGATCTGTGCTTGTGGGAGCTACTTTCCTTGGAAGTGTTTTAGTTGATAAATTTGGAAGAAAAATTCTCCTCGTTATGTCAAGCGTGGTTATGTCTATAACGTTAATCACATTTGGACTTTACTTCTATCTACTTGACATTGAATCATCAGCCGTCGATAGTTTATCTTGGCTGCCTTTGACTTCTCTATGCCTTTTTCTCGTCTTCTATTCAATTGGATACGGTCCACTTCCTTGGCTTATCCTCAGTGAAGTTTATTCTAAAGACTGTAATACTATAGCAAGTCCAATTACTGGAACATTCTCTTGGAGTTTGGCATTTTTAATTACCGCTACTTTCAATTCAGTTAGCGATGGTATTGGACTTGGAGCAACATTTTGGATATTTGCAGGTATAAGCATCATTGGAATTCTTTTCTCTTATTTCATTGTCATTGAAACTAAAGCTAAAACTATGGCTGATATTCAAAGAATTCTTAATGGTGAAAAAGTTATGTAGACAATGAAAATTTTCAGATTTTTCATTTTAAAAAATCCAAGCTAAATACATGAATACTTTTTTTTAACAAGAATTGTTAATAATTTATAATAAAATTTGAATCCGAAACAATCTTCCCAAATATTTACTGTTATTTTAAGGAAGTTTTGAAAGTTTTTACTATTTAAGCCTCTCTTTGAAAACATTGAAATGACAAATTCCATTGAATAATATCTCCCTTCACCCAAAACCATATTTCTATATATTTATATGAAAAGAAAGCACGACAGTTGCCTGATTTAGGTGCGACACTTTTTAATCGAAAACAATGCGCCCTTTAAAGAAAGTTTTGAAAAAAAAAAGATTTAATGCTTCAATTTCCCAAGGATTAGTAATTAAATACTTTTATACCGTAATTGAAACAGTTTTTTTCCACCAGTACCGTAATCTGTCAAACACCGTTGCATCTCCTTTGATTTATACCAAATCTGAGAAAAAGGAAGGATTTTTGGAAAGGGTCTTGGGATGTTTTACTAACGGTATGTGCTTCTCTTTATTTGCATTTGCAAATATAGAAATGAATGTGAAATTCTTTTTGTAACTGGTAACAAAGATTGAGTTTCTTATTTAGAAATATTACTGTTATTAAGAGGCTTTGGATATTTTTTATAAATTGGTTTATTCTGATACTTTTTCAATATTTTAATCAAAATGATTGACAATTATTTCACATTCACCAGCTCATATGATTTGCGGATGTAAGTATGACGATTAAACATTCTGTAATTGAACTAATGAATTGATTAAATGTACATGACGTCAGAATGTGATAATGTTGTTTATCAAGAGGTCGTAATATCAACGGACTTTTACATACTTTTAAATATTTTAAGTTAAGTTTCACATTTATATGTAAAGTGATTTTATTCAAACGCAAACATTTTCTTTGACATGAGAGAAAAAAGAAATTCAGAGGCTGGAAAATGTTATTCATGTGAAATATGTATAGAAGTTGATGTCTAATTTATATTCAACATCTTTAAGGCAAAATCATTGAAGTAAGAATAATTTAGTGAGAGTCGGGCGATGTATCAACAGCGTCCCAGGCTTCAACAAATATTCAAAGGAGTAAATTTATGATAGATACTGCAATCAATTACATACTATGTCGAAAGACTGAGAAAAAAATTGCCGTTGATATGGAAATTAATAAACAACAATTTTATGGAAATTTGTACAAAGTAAAACATACCTCGGGTATATCATGAATAACAATGTTACGTAAATTTGTTCCCAAAGCATCTCAAGAATGGAACAGTTTTTATAATCTCAATTGAAAGTGTCAAATTGATTAATCAATTTTAATGTTTGCAACCCTTTCAAATAATTCTCCTAGTTCAGTGAAGAGAAATTGCAATCACCATGAGAACGATTTTATGATCACAATCACGTCTTTTAATGAATACAGGCTTGTAGCATTATTAAATTAATCAAAAAGACGCTTTCAATGTAGATACTGCTCATCAACTTTCGTGTCATGCACTCATTTAAGTCTTTTGAATTGCAAATTTATTGTTGCATTTTTGAGGGCTTCTCTCCATTCTTAAAATTCAATAAAGCACACAAATTTGATTGGCACTGTCAGTTTGCTAACTTAATGTATGCATGAACAATATTATTTGAAATGGTTCAACAGTTCTTTGCCTAATGTCCCAACAAAGCCCATATTGCCGATGCTAATGAATTAACATAATTTTCAATATACAAAGAACATCCGTATCTTAACTTCATTTCACTGGGTGGTGCAAATCCCAGCAGGAAAACAGCAGCAAAAGCAAAGGAAACAATTCGCGTATCTAAAAAAAAACAACAAATTATGTAAATTTCAGTGCTCTCACATCTCTGTTGCTTCAGGATGGCACATAATATGTTTTGCTGATTTTTTTCTTTGCTTAGTTGTTTTTGTGATTCTGCATAGAAACGATATTTTATCTTAAACTTACCTGGAAGGAATTAATCATTAACTCAAACACTTTAGCGAGACTTTTTATTAAATTGAACGAACACATGTTGAGTATGAATAAAAAAAAAATTTAGCTCGCAAAATTTAATTTCCTTTAATTTCAGATACTTAACAAGGTTGTCAGCAAGACACTGTAACGTCGTAAATTTATTGTCCCCTTTTCTCTCAACTTCCTCAAATTAGTAGCAGCAAATCTTTACTTGCCATTATTCATTCTTTTATCATTTTTTTATAAAATTTAACAATCGCTCTGCTAAAATAGCCAAATGATACTCAAGTTTTTGCACTTCGCAAAAAATTCTTTAGATTGTGATGAACAGAAAGTTAAGCACAAAAGGAAAATGTCAAAACATTTCAAATTCACAGCGAGATATCTTTTTAACTTTTGAAAAGATATTCTCGACTCCCAAAGTTGCATTGTAGTTACTTTAAATGCATCGATGAAATAAAATTCCCACTCATGAAGAAATTCAATAAAATCTATTTAATCTCATAAAAAAGCAACAATAAAATCGAGGAAACAAATGGTCATGATACTTTTCTTTATTTTGTCATATTCATTCGACTACTTGAGGATAGACGATTCCTTTTATACAACATTAAGCGATCGTTTCATAAAAGTTCGGCCAACAATTGAATTGTGTAAAATCTTGAATCGAAACAAGCCATCGAAAAACTTTGATAAAAAATGTGAATGAATGTTCTGCTATTTAATTAATGATTTGGAAACATGATGACATGAATACTTTCTTCTTATGTTTTTTTCTTTCAATAACTTCTGAGAATGGAGAAATTTATAAAAATTGTTTCATTCTTGAAAAGGATTAGAAGGAATCTTCTATCATCTCAGTTTTATGGCTTTTTCATATTCTCTTCATGCTTAGAATAAATTTTCTTCATATCTTTTCACTCAGAATCTCAGAATGAAGATGAAGAATTAGAAAACCCATCAAAATCATTTCGTTTTCCATGAAAGATCGTAAACATTTGGCGTCAAAATAAACATAAAAATTATGTTTCGTCAGACACTTGAAAGTAAGAGACAAATTTTCTTCGAGGATTTTTTCTCTTCTATTGCACTTGAAACAGTTTCTTAAATTTTCCATTTTTTCATAAATTCTGAAATTTTAATTGTGCCCTTGAGATTTACTTTTGACTTCAAAAATGTTGAATGAGAATGGGAGTCGAGAACACGACAAAAGTTGAGCCGAAATTCCATTTTTTCGTCAAATACATTGAAAACGTTCCGATTATGTGTTTAGCTACGATTACAACCCCTCAACAGATTCAACTGCGCACTAGGAATTTTTAACAGTTGAAAAGTTTCAAAAGCCATCAATTTTGAGTTTGCCTGTGCAAAGGATTTTCGTTTTAAAATTTTGTTATTTTTTTCTCTCTTCTGTTAATGAAATGAAAACACGTGTGTGCAATGTGAATATGTAATTCCATCCCTTAGCGACATAGCTAGTCTCAAAAAGCATTAACATATGAGTTTAGTTAGTTGACTGTTAAGAATGATGGAAAAAAATCAGGTTCTATAAGCTGTCGTGTTTCATACAAGGAAGGAAAAAAGGCAACAAGTAAAAAAAATGTTGAGACTTGATTATTGGCATGCGTACATACAGTGCGCGACGAGGGAGAGAGAAAAATATAATCGGTTGACTCAATGAGTTTTGAAACGCATAATAATCAGAGAAATGATTGAAGCATATAACTTTTCCACGAAGGGTAAATTTTATGGCAGTAACACGTAACAATTTTGAATCATAAAATCCGCCTAGCAGGAATTCAATTAATTGAATTGATCAACTAGAAACATTTGCCATCGTTCCAAGAACCTGATATCATTTTACTCACGACTCATAATATTATTGTTTGTTTTATTTTTAAAATTAAATCCTTTTTGCTGGCTGGAAATCAATAATTGGTCACAACAAATGACAATTTTACGTCTTTATTAACAGAAAAGATTATCATCTCAAGTCAACTTCTCTATGAGCGACATTAATTCGCCTAAGAAACATGAACGATCTCAGCTTGGTGTCAATTCTCTGTTCAAGATATATTGAAGTCTTATCTCGCCTGTCGCGATCTCGCGTAAGATCCTTTCGTTTCGATCCTGTAAAAATATTCACATTTTAATCCTTTGAGAGCATAGCCAAGCATTGAAATATGAGGGTAGCTTGTGTCCAACAGTGAAATCAACATCGATACAAAAGAAAAGAAAAATGTTGACATAAAATCCTATTCATGCGATCATTAACAAAAGGAAATTAAGTTTTTGTTAAAAATCGACGGGGTCGATCAATTCATGATAATTTATGAGATTTTCTTTTTCAATGCAGCCTTGAATTTTTTTTTCATTTCGATCATTTTTTGTTTGCTCGTCATAAAAGTTGACAAATCACTAATTCTTTTCATCGTTTGATTCGCTTTGATCTTCATCTGAACAGCAAGGGTATGCATTTCACAGGATCAACCCACATGATATCAGTCAAAAAAGATTTCGTCTTTCCTGTCAATATTGTCAAGCTTATCAAGGATTTGACGACAAAAAATTTTCCAATTTAATTTATTTTTTACTCTTTCAAATAATTTACAGATTATTTAAATTTAAACTTCCTTTTACAATTTCCATTCGTTTATTACTTATTGATATTTAATCAAAAAGAAATTGATGTTTCCTAAATATTTTTACTGTCTGAATGCACAGGTTGTTGAGCATATTTCGCAGATGATGACTGAGTAATGAATTAGATAATTGTTTTAATTTTAATTATTTTATAAATTATAAGAAACTCTAGCTATTCAATCTCGTAGTCAGCATCCAAATAGAATGGCATCATCGTTTCTACATCAAATTTCTGTCATCATATTTTATATTTATGTTGCAACATTGTCCGAATAAAACATTTTAATGTCCTTTTTATGTTGCACAAAGATCTCATGCTGAAGCTTAACAAGGTCTTTTGTCCCCAATTTTCTAAGAAACTTGAATATTTGTTTCAAAACTTCTTGTTTTCAATTTACTGTTTTGGGACAAGAAAGAACTTTTGCTGTGAAACAAGAATCATTAGCATTCCCCTTAGTTATTTATGTAAAAATGTTTATTTTTACTGCTTCTGAATTATCTGGTTAACCAAGTTTTTGTTTCAGTTATCCAAAAAGATCATTACATGTGATCATATCGTATTTTCGTTTCACAAGAAATTGTTTTGAGGGAAACAAGAGTGTGACAATTAACAAAAATTTGTTAATTTTTCTTAACGCCACCATTGTAAAGCAATTCACAGATTGCATATTTTGAACATAAATATCGTGTTGCACAAATGTTTGTATATTTCATTAAAGAGACGTGGTAACCAGGAAGTAATTTTAAATTTCAATTCCAAAGGGATATAAAATTTTCCATATCTTTACTTTACCATGTCCAAATAGCAAGAACAACACAAATGCGCTTTACCAAGTGAAATAAAAATTAAATTACTCACCGATTATTTTTTTCCGTCGATTTCATTTCAAGGTTGCTGATCACAAAGTGCTTTGTTGTTTTGGTGGATATTTTTACAAGAGGGTTCAAAAACTGACGATCAACGAGAGTAAATAACAAGAAAAAAAGGAAGTTTTAGGAAATGGAAAGGGTTTATATGTTCGTGCACTTAGAACATAAATATGTACATAAACTATAGATAATTGTAAGTTCCTATTCGCAAGGAGCGTTTGTCATATTAAACTGATTAAAAATAACCAAAAAAATATCTTTACACATACTTTAATCATACTAGAATATGTAGATGCATAAATTATGGGAATAAACCTAGACATTAAAATTATATTTGAGGATAAATTGGGTGATGTGACACATACACTAACGACCCATTACCATAATAATATTAAGAGTCTCGTATGTGGCCTTTCAGGGTATTATCAAAATATTTTTTTAGCATCAGAATGTCATGTAATTCAGCATTTCCTGTTCCTTATTCATCAAGAGAGCCGAAAACATTCTGAATGCAAAAAAGAAGAACTATCTAAAGAGAAAAGAAATAAAATGTTCGTGGTAAATAATAAATATTCTAACTTCATCATCTTATACTAATATTTAGTTAAGAAAATGCGGTTCTGCATCATCATTCAGATAGATCCTGCTCCGAAAGCAGAGGCAAACAAATAAATCAGAAGAGAAAAGACATCAAACAGCGGTGGGACTCATGTTAATATTGAAGTTGAACTCACTTCTAAGCATGTTGTTCTTCAGTACAAGTTGTAAGAATCCAAGCACGAAAGTGGTGGAATTCAATCAACCGGAAGAAGCTGCGCAAAGAGCGTCTTAAAACAAAAACTCTCTTCCTGTGCTAAGAAACTCAATTTAAAATTCTTTCCTTTTGATAAAATGATGAAATGAAGTTTTTGAATTAGATATTGCGCTTGGAATCAGGTAGATTGAAAAGTATGATTTCTAAGATTTCAGAATATTTGTTGGAGTTTGTCAGACATCTTAAGAAAATTTAAAAGATTTTGTTTGTAAAATGATCCCGAAGTGTGCCTTTCAAGACAAGATCGTAATTGCATTTTAAGCATCATGTTTCTGTAGAATGACCCAGACGACACTCAAGATATCACTTAAAGAGAAAAGTCTCTTTCATTTTTCCCATTGCATAATTTAGTGACAAGCACTCTGACCGATTAGAGTTTTTACATATTTTTGTCTACCATATGTGATCGAACTTCGAAGAAGCAATTTCATACTCAATTGATCACAAGAACCGTAAATTGAGTGCCATATGGAGACGGCATATATACTAATTCTGTTCAATGTTACTATTGATGGTCATTGAAAATTCTATTAGTTTAATCGCTTTCTAATGTTAGTCTGTTGACCAAACTGAATTAAATCCACACCCTTCCTAACTTTGGAGTGTGAACTGTCCACCTACCCTAACAATAAAACATTTTCTAGTATTGTTTAACTAATTGTTCAAGGAAGAATGTAACTTCGCTGTTACCTAAAATTTTTAGGAGGATTATATGCCAGATGTATAATATTTATAAAAGTTCACACTAAAAGTAATCGATTTTGATTACATATGTCATTACTGACCTCGATAAATACAATTCTGTTAAAAACAAACAATGTTCATTTCCGTTCATTATTAAATGATTCAGTTGTGTCATCTTCCGTTTTCTTTATGGTTTATTGTCATGCCAAAAATTCTTTCATCAAAAGCATGGGAACAAATGTCATCTGGTATCATGAACATTCACTTTGCGGAAGCTTTTATCAGCAGACTGTTAACCGTTAATAAAAATTCTTCTTAATGGAAGTTTGACTCAAAACTCAAGCATTAATTGATATCGTTTATTGCTGTCATCATGCTCACTTTCTTTTTGTATCGCTCTACAAAACTGTTGTGGTGCCAGTCGATTAAATTCAAGTTCTTAAAATAAATTGAAATTGTTGAAAGAGACGCAAACTTCAACAGATCAAATATATGGAATGGTATCAAGTAACATCAGCCATCACTTACTTAAGAATGATTCTTTAATGACGAGAAATTTCAAGTAAAAATATCAAGAAAAAGAAATTCATTCGTAATTATTTTTATTTAAACAATTAATGGCTGTTTGCAGCATTGAAAACTAACGGCATTTGTCGACATCGTAAACAAACCTCGCATTGAAATTAATTCTTTAAAACCCTGTTAAAAACCATTAGATAAAAATAAAAATTGATTGCAGGGTTTAGCTTAATTACTGTGCCGTTCTTTGCTGATGAAAATATTGAATTTAATTGAAAATATCTAAACGTCTTCTCATCGATCTTATTTTCGTTCTCTTCAATTCTAAATCAAAAATACTTATAATGTAATTATACAGCCTTGTATGGATTTATATATGTAGAAGACGAAAGCAAATAATGAGAAATTACTCGAGGGTAAAAACTAAATGGTCGCGTGTCGTCGTCATCGTCTTCTTACATAAAGTTATGCTTATAAGAGAACGAAATTTGAAGAATACCGGAAGTAGGTGTTGAATTAAACTCACTCAATTGTTTATGTTTCCATATTAAATTGTCTGTTAACTAATTGGATCACAACAGCTATTAATCAGCATAAAGATCTGTCGTGTGCTCAAAATTTCCCTCTTTCATTTACATTTGTCTGGGTCATGAATTTCACTCTTCAAAAATTCAAGTGGACGTAGGAGACGGAAATGTTTTTGTTTTGATTCAAAGACGACCTCATCTTTATGGCACGTGTTTCATGTTGTACACTCTTAACATCTTCAGAGCAAATGTTAAGAATAAGTGACAGTCAAAGATTCCTTTCATTTCCCGTTTAAGCAGCAATTTCATCACATATTTATGACATTTGAAAACTTAAAAAAATATTCAACTTTTCTGGCTTTTTTGCTACGATGCCTTCGACTATTATTTTCGAAATAAAAATATAGAAATATTCTTCGCATATATAATTTCGCTTTAAGTTAAACCTCTTGAACCCACCTGCATATTTTAAAAGTTTATGCAATTCTAATGACTCATTTTCATTGATATTAAGATATCTGCAAAAAGAACTTTTAATTTAGATTCTAATTTAGAAACTATTTAGATAATATTTTATGATTATTTAAGATTTTTTGAGATATAAATATTCTAATCAAAATTATTCT